TGGCGGCGGAGCCCTGCCGGGGGTCCCCCAAGACCCCCTAAAGAATCTGGAATGTCCGGAATTTCTGCCTTGCCCCTGATCTAACATCCAGGAGGCGCCCTTCGGTGTGCTCCCCAAGCCAGACAGGACTTCCTTGCAGAGAAAGGGACACGGGCGGCCTCCCCAGGGTCCAGGATCACCCGGCAGGGCAGCAGGGTCCCCAGAGTCCCAAGGTAGATTCTGCTGCAAAACCAGCTCCGAGAGAGAGGCCTGGGCCCTTCCCGGGTGGGCCTGTTTCCCATGTGCGGTGGGGTTACGCTAGCCCTCTCCTCTGATCCTTTTCTTAGTGCCTGTTTGCTTGGAGAAGAGCACAGAGTTCAGTTCACTGCTAGGGACTCCACCACCTCGCCCAGGCAGCACCCACAGGCTTTCAGCAGGGACCTTCTGGGAGCCTGGAGGCCGGCCAACCCCAGCCTTGCATCCCAGACCAGCCTCTGCTGCCAAAACCTGCCATCTGTCCTGCGTGGCCCCAGCCCTGGCCCTGGCTTCTGTCTCTAACACCCCCTGCTCCCAGGAGGCTCCTGGCCACCTTCCGTCTTCATTAAACCTGGCCCTGCTCTGGGTTGCCGGTCTAGTCCCTCAAGACCCCTGTGGTCAGCTTCCTGTCCTTGGCCAGCCTCTATGTGCCCCACACCCTCCGAGGCCCACACACCTACCTCCTTGTCCAATCTCCTGAGCACTTTCCCTCATTCCTGGAGCCTGGCTTCTGGCTGGCTCTCCACCCCAAGCCCTGCTGTCCTCCTGGGGGACCTGTGTAGAACATAGCCACCCACCCTGTGTCCTCTTCTCCAGTGACCCTCCACTTCACCTCAGCCACAAGGGCTTGTGACCACAGCCTAGGCCGTGTCATCCCTCAGAACTGCCCCACCTCTGGCATCTGAAGACCATATGCCTCCTTCTTGGACCCAATCTGCCATCCCTCCCACCTTCACAATCACAGTTCTTCCTCCAGTCCCTTGTCACCTTCCTCTTCTCCCACCCACCAACCCCTCCTGGCTTCGCCTTCTCTCCCAAGCTGCATTCACTGCTTTACACCTGGCCCCTACCCAGCCACCTTCCAGTGCTCTCCTGCCCCTTATGGCAGCTGGTCTGGCTGCCCAGGGACAGGGACAATTTAGATGACCAGGTCCTACCACACACACCCCCACCCATGCCACAAGCATCTGTAACTAGCACTCACTCCGGACACAATGGGACAAGTGCCCTTCAACAGTCGGACACAATATTTCCCCCAAGGCTCTGTGGTCCCCTTCCTTCCTGCCTCCCCAAGGGATTTGCTCCAGGTGTCCTCTGCTTTCCTTGGTATCTAGGGGCTTGTGGCCCTCAGTTTAAAAGAGTCTTGTCTCCCTCCAATTAAAGATACAGACATGTCCGAGTAATTCCAGTTACTCAGGGGTCTGAAGCAGAAGGATCATGTGAGTCCAGGAGTTCGAGGCCAGACTGGGCAACATAGTGAGACCTCTGCAAAAAAAAATTTTATTTAGCTGGGTGTGCACCTGTAATCCCAGTTACTCGGGCGGCTGAGGCAGAAGGATCGTCTGAGCCCAGGAGGTCAAGGCCGCAGTGAGCGTGATCGTGCCACTTGCACTCCAACCTGAGCAACAGAGACTCCAACTCAAAAAAAAAAAAAAATCCTTCTCTGGAGTATTGTCTAGACCCCCATGTTTCCTATTGGCGCCCAGTCTAAGCCTCTCCTCCATTCGCATCTTGGTGTCAAAACCACAATCCTTCACCTCAACCTTCCTTGGTCATTCCCGAATCATCCTCTCCTTCCACACACCTCAACT